GTCTCGTCACTGCTGCAGGTGCCGCTGCCCTACACACATGTCATTTGTGTCTGTGCTGCTTCGCGTGGAGTCTGGCTTAATGTGTCCTATTATTATTGATGTCACTTGGCTCCAGGCACCTTCACAACCCACCCTGGGAAACCATAGGATCGGATCGTCATGCCAGTGCAGTCGATGAGAAAATTCAGCACCAAGAGGTTAACTTGCCCACAGCCACAGAGCACAAGCAGAGCTGGCACTCGGCGGTGTAATTTAGAGAGTGAAAATAGATCAGTGAGCAGAAACGTGTGCCTCTTGCCGCCCTGGCACTTAACCCTTGCGAGGCCTCGCCCGTGCAAGCACGCTCTTGTTTTATCCAGCCGCACTCCCCAGGGCCCACCGCCTCTGTCCTCCAGGAGGCACAGACGGGAAAATGCTGAGAACCCCTGCTTGGATTAGGGTCTCAGCCGCTGGGGCAGCCTCCATCCGAACACGTGAGCTCAAGGGCCACTAAGGCACCTCATTTTAGACCACGATTAATCTACCCCAGTTAAGAGAATCTTAACGCCTGAGACAAGACGCTCGGTGGCAAACAGGCTTTTCCTATCGAGTTGACTGGTCCTGGGCTGCGGAGGGAAGATTCTGCGCCGTCTGGGGGTTGTGCTCCCTGGGGAGGAACCCAGCCAGGCCCTGGGCATGGCAAGAGGCTATCGCCTCAGACCTACACCTGTCATTTTACAGATGAGAAAATGGACACAGGGAGGAACAGGCCTCCACTGGCACCCACACCCAGGTAGAGCCCAGAGCTGGACACTCGGGTCAAGGGGGCAACGAGACCCAAAGCACGAGGACTGAAATCCAAGGCAGCACCCCAAGTCCCAACATGCTGCATATTCATTTCACCAGCATATCCTGTCCCCAAAAAGCTCTACAAACCCACAGGAAGCGCCTCCCGGGCCCTCTCTGAGCTGTCCTGGCGGCCGCACGCAAACACAGCTGAGCAAGGCAGCTTGTTAAATGTCAAGGACACAGGCCGCGGTCTCCCCACAGCCTGTCCCGCTGCAGGGACACGCTCCCGGCGGCCCTTTACCTGCTCCTTATTGTTATTGTTCAGTAAGCCAGGTTTCTTTTTCTTCTTAATGGGGCTTGTTGATGTGTCCTGTGGCGAGTGGCCATTGGAAGAATGTGGAGGGCTAGGGAACTTTCTTTTCTGGGCTGTTCTCTCTGTGGAGCCAGGATCTGAAAGAGACGCACAGGGCCATGTGTATTAAAGCAGTTTGGGAGGCCTGGGCCTCTCGGGGGAGGGCATGTGGGAGACCATGCATTTCACCTTCAAGTCCAACGCCATTTTAGCTTTCTTCTTCCTGGAAGACACTTACCCCTCCCTCCCTTCACTGCCTGTCCCAGACATTCTTCCTTCAGCCTATATGACAATGTTGCAAATGTTTAATTCAACACCAAAATACAGTAACCCAGATTTTTGCTTCTCATTTAAAAAATAAACAAACAAAAAGACTGGGT